AAAAAAAAAAAAAAAAAAAGGCACCTGTTATTGCAAGCTCGTGTGTGCTAGGCCCGGCTCCTGAGAAACACTGAGCCCTCTGCCCTGCTATGGTATGTGCTCAATAAACCCAGCCTAGAATGAACTGTTCTGTTCGGCTACCTGCTGCTCCCAGCAACTCTCCTGGCTGTAGGGGAAGGAAGGGATTGAAGCCTAGAAGGTTGAAGCTATTTGCTCAGGGACACACAGGGGTTCCATACAGAACCAAACTTGGGAGGCTGGGGACTTAGCGGCACAGCGCCTGCCTGGCAAGCGCAAGGTCGTGAGTTCGATTCCTGGTACCGGAAACGCCCCCCACCAAAAAAAGAACCATACTTGGCCCAGGCTTGGACACCTGTCATCCTGCCTCCTGGAGGGGCAGAGGATGACAACACCAGCATCCTGGCTCCTCTGCTAATTCCAAGGGTCCCTGGCTGAAGAGTATGTGCCCCTGGAAGTGACCTCCAAACGGGAAGGTGGTCCCTTTTGAGCCCCTTTGCCCAGTGAGAGGGGCTTTCACCTTGACACTGAGCCCCCACCCTTAAGCTGACGTCATTCTGAGGCCTGGGCCTGTCCCCCCACCCTAGCCCTCTACTCGCTCCTGACCACTGCCTTCGGCCTCAGCTCCTCTGCCCAGAGATGAGGCCTCACCTCCCACTCTCCTCCCGGCGCCCCGAGCCCCCAGCTCCCCTCATCCAGGCCTGCCTGACACCCACGGAGGCCCTCCTGGTATTACTGCCATTTGTCCAGGGAGAGGGGAGGGGTCTAGTGGGGTGGGGTGGGGAGGAGGGTTTGGGGGGCCACAGTGGAACAAAAGTCCTCTGGCGTCATTCCTACCCACTTCTCACCCTGCCCTCAACTCTAACACTGAATCCCACCCTCTCTGCCCCCATCTGTCTGTCCTGCTAGAGAGACACAGCAGGAGCCCAAGTCTGGAGGGCGGCGGAGGGGGCAGAGTTGCAGGTCCGGTCGACCCCTGCTTCTTCCCACCCCAGGCTCCTGGAGCTCTGCCCCCTCCCTCCCTCTTGCCACCTGGGGAGCAAAGGAGGATTCAAGTGGGTTGGGAACCAGGACTCTGGCTTTGGGGATGGTGACCTTGCTCCTGAGTGAGGATCTTGCTCAGGGGGAGAAAGGGGGGTCTTCCGCAAAGACGGGGGATATGGACTTGAAAGGATGGGGCAGGAGGAGGGTCCTACTCTGGGCGGGACTAGGAACGCAACTAAGGTGCGGGGGTGGGGGGTGTCTCACCGTTGCAGTATTGCAGCAGCGAGGACGTGTCGTAGAGGCCGCAGAAGGCCGGGCCGCGCTCCGCCATAGCCCCGCCAAAGCCACTGCCGGCCCCCCCGGCCCCAGCCCGGGCCCGGTCCCCCCCCCAGGCCCTGCCTCCCGTTGCCATAGCAACGCCCTTCGTTCCAGCATCCCCAGCTCAGCCAGCCCTGCATCAGGCGGCCGGCGCCAGGCCCGGCACAGGGGTCATCCCCCAGGAAGTCCAGAAAGGGGAGTCGGGACACCCTCTGCCAGTCCCCCCAACACAATCTTCAGTCAGGGATTGGCTGCGCCGGAGTCCCTCTAGGTACTGTCTGGCCCCGCCCACAACCAGAGTGCATCCTCTCTAGACCCGTTCCTCGCCTCTTTGGAACCAATGAGCGCCTGTCGCGCAGGCTCCTTCACCAATAAGGATGCAGAAGGATTAGAAGGGGCGGAGCCTTCTCTGCTTCTCCGTCTGCCGCGGCGCCCCCAGGTGTGGGAGGAGGATGAGGTGGAGGAAGACACGCCCTTGTCCCCCACACCGTCTCCTTAATCTTTTATTGGATTCCCAGAAGCCTCCTCGCAAGACCGAGGCCCGACATTATTCTGAAGCCGGACCAGGTATCCACCAGCTGCGCCCTGAAACTCAAGCTAGCCGAGTTCTCGATTCTTGTTTATTAGATCAAGCCCCACCCCCAGGGCTCTTAGCTCCACCCCCGGAATCGTGTGAGTGTTTATGTTCTCTTCCCTCCCCAGAGCCATTAGCTCCGCCCCCTGAGTGTCGGAGGGATTATAATCTCCCGGAGATCTAGACCGAATTTTTATAGGATTAGCTCCATCCTCGAAATTTAAACCCCTCCCCTAACTCTGTTAACCCCTCCCTAACCTGTCCATCCACTGTCTTCTGGGTGTTCCAGGCCCTTAGCTCCGCCCCCCAGAGCCCTAGTCTCCCACACCCGAGTTATCCAGTCCGGGTTTTGACACAGGCTCAGTTTTGCAGCCTGGACCAGTTGGCCGTGTCAGTCGGAGCTGGCTCGGAAGTTGCGGGGAAGAGGGGAGGGTAGGAAACCAAACAATGAACTTTGAAAACATTGGCCCTCCCTTCCAAGTCTCCACTGAAGCTCAACGCCTAGGGACGACCCAGACCATGTTTCACCGGGCGGGGAACTAACAGGTGCTCTACTACTGAGCTGCATCCCCAGTCCTTTTAGTTATTTTAAGTTCCCCAAGCTGGGCTCAAACTCATGATCCTCCAGCTTCACCTTCCTAAGAGGCTGTATTACAGGTCTGCCCCATCATGCTCGGCTTCCCTATCAAGAACATTTCTTGAGGGCCTGGGATATAGCTCAGCGGCACATGCACCTGCCTGGCAAGTGCAAAGTCCTGAGTTCGATTCCTGGTACAAAAAAAAAAAAAATTCCTGATACCGATGTGTAATCCTAGCACTGCAAGTTTGAGACAGAAGGATCGCCATGAGTTGGAAGCCAGCCTGGATTAGAGAGTGAGACTCTTATCGTGGAACACAAAAGCAACAAAACAAATAATGTAATAGCCAGCATTTAGTGAGCATTTGCTATGTGCCAAACGCTCAACACAAATCCTATTTTCATCACTATCTTTTTTTTTTCTTTTTTTCTTTCCCCCGGTACCGGGAATCGAACTACGACCTTGCGTTTGCCAGGCAGGTGCTGTGCCGCTGAGCTAAATCCCCAGCCCCTTTCATCACTATTTTATAGATGAGTTAAGAGGCACAGAGCTGGTAAGGTTGTTTCTGGCCCTCTTAGGTAGTATGAAAATGATCAGAAGGATGGAGAGTGAGAAGGGCCATTTGAGCTGAGATTTGAATGACAAGAAAGAAGCAATTAAGGCTGGGCATGGAGGCTCATGCCTGTAATCCCAGCACTTGGGAGGCTGAGGCAGGAAGATTATTGCAAGTTCAAGGCCAGCCTGGGCTACAAAGTGAGTGCTAGGCCAGCTTGTACTGCATAGTGAAACCCTGTCTCAAAAAGATAGCAAGAAAGAAAGAGAGAGAGAAAGAATTATAGCTGGGTGTGGTGGTGCATACCTTTGATCCCAGCACTTAGGAGGCTGAGGCAGGAGGATCACTGTGAGTTCAAGGCCACCCTGGGCTACATAATGAGTTCAAGGCCAGTTTGCATGACAAACTGAGACCTTGTCTTAAAAAGAAAGACAAAAAAGAAAGAAAGAAAAAGAAAGAAAGAAAGAGGGAAAGATCTAGACTGGAAGGAGGAAGCTTCTTGTACAGAAGAGACAGCAAGTGCAAGAGTACTGAGGTAGGCTGGAGTCTGGCATAATCCTGGAGCAACAAGGCTGGTGAGGATGGAGCTGTGGAGGAAGAAGAAGGTAAGAAGATAGGAGGCTAAGGAGGTGATGGGTCTTTTGGACCTTGTAGGGCCTGGAAGGCTGTAGGAAAACTTTTGTAGTTTGTCACTGCATCCTCCACGAGCTCTGATGAGGCCACGTATGTACATTACACATGAGTACAGTACCCGGCACCCAGTAAGCCCACACAAATAATAATAACACCTATTCATTTCTCAGGGAATGTAAAAGCCCCACCACAGACATCAAAGGTTTTAGTTTAATTCCCAGTTCCCACCCCTGCCGTGCAGTTAGATCTTCATGTTAACCCTTCCTGGAACATATGGTTGTAAACGCCCTGCCCTTCTTGGACTCCCAAAATGTATTGTTCTACCCACCCCACCCCCCGAGTTCTCAGAATGTACTGTTCTTCCTATAAAAAAAATCCCCCCCTCATTGTTACAGATGTGACATGTATTTGCCAAACAGGATGCGGTTTTAGGGTTTAAAAACTGCTCTCGTCCCTGGATCTGGACTGGTCTGATTCATCCCTGCGTGGAGGCTCTTGGTCAGCCCCTGGCCAGGAATAAAGGGTCGTCCTAAATTCCAATTGGCGATCCGTGCGTCTTGGTGTTTGTCGGTCGGTACCATTTGGTTTGTTTCTGGTTGCGAGTCCAGAACAGGGAACATGTACTATGTGAGGCATCAAGATCCATGATGGATTCAAAGTCATGACCCTTGAGCCAGGCACGGTTGTGTGCTCCTGGGATCCCAGCATTTGGGAGGCTGAGGCAGGAGGATCACTGCAAATTAGAGGCCAGACCAGGCTACATAATGAGTTCAAGGCCAGCCTGAAATACAGACCAAGACCCTGTCTCAGAAAATAAAAACAAGGGTCCGGAGAGAGGAGATAGCTTGGAGTCACAGCACCTGCCTGGCAAGCACAAGGTCCTGAGTTTGATTCCCAGAACCAGGAGAAAATAAAATGAAATTAAATTAAAATAATAAAAAAGCGGGCATGGAGGTCCATGCCTCACCCAGTAATCCCAGCACTCGGGAGGCTGAGGCAGGAGGATCTCAATGGATTCAAGGCCAGCCTGAATTGCATAGTGAGACCTTGTCTCAAACAAACAAATAAATAAACAAAACAAGTAGACCCAAATAGACATGGGCCATTATCATAGCTAATTGTGTACTGATAAAAACAAAGAGGAACCCAGGTTTCCTGCCTCCCAAACTCCAGCTCCTCCCACCCCTGCCTCCACAAGCTCATATTCTAGCAGTTAGACTCCTGCATACACCCAGAACTCAGAAGCAAAGAGGTACACGTTAAGGCTGGTGCTGGCAAACCCAGAGGGCTGTGGGAGCCCAGGGGCGAGCCCGTCCTGGGGCTCTATGTAGTGACGGAGGGAACAGGAGGCAGAATTTAGGCTGGTGGGTTTCAGGGGGCAGAGAGAGCTCACATACAGATGTGCGCCGTTGGCTAGGCACGGTGGTGCACACCTATAAACCCAGCTACTTGGGAGGAGGAGGCCCAGCCCGAGAAACTCAGTCAGACCCTGCTGCAAAATTTAAAAAATGTCTAAGGGGCTGGGGATTTAGCTCAGC